GAGCTGGGGGTGGTAACGGCCGACAGGGAGCTCTGGCGTGGGCTGATCCATGAGGTCACGAAGAGTCGGAGATGACTGAACGAGTGAACAACAACAACAACAACCATAATTGTTTATTTAGTCTGTTCCTTTTACTTCCATTACAGTACTTATTAATCATTTGTTGCCATCTAGTTAGTTCTTCTTCTGTAATTTGAAGTGGTAGCATCCTAAATATGAAATTTATTTTTGGAAGTATTTTCATTTTTACTAATGCTATTCTTCCAAACCATGATAAGCGTATTCCTTCGTACTCTATTAACTTTTTCTGGACTTCTTTCCTTAATGTTACTACATTTACTTCCTCTATCTCTTTTAAATCCTTAGTTATTATTACTCCCAAGTATTTTAGTTTGTTCTTGATTCTTATTCCCCCTTTGCTCTGTTCTATAAGAAATCTTTGGTTTCTCCACTGAGAAGAGGCAAAATGTTTGACCATTATTTAAACCAGGGGTCCTCAAACTTTTTGAACAGGGGGCCAGTTCACTGTCCCTCAGACTGTTGGAGGGCTGGACTATAGTTTACATGGGAATATTGTGAAACATTTATTTTATAAATTGTGAAACATTTATTTCTAATTACAAATAAACGAAATTTTGACTGCAAGTATGTCGTAGCATGGGTAACAGGCTAACTATAACAGCAGGGAACCCATGAATATGTTTACTGATCAGCCTATTGGCCGAATTCCCATGACCTCTTGTCATCATAGTTTGTGGCAGCCACACAAAGTTTCTGGAGAACTACTACTTTCAAAGTAAGAGCCGCACAATTAAACAGAAAATAACAATTTCAAACCAGGAACAGATTTCTGTTCTACAATATTATTATTATGCTTATTTATACACCACTTTTTGTCTTCACAAGGAGACTGTGGGCACTTCCAGAAAGGCCCTATATCCCAGGATATGATCCCAGGTTTTCTGCTTTAAACTGGATTATTTGAGTTTGCACTGCCAGATAATCTGGGATAAACAGAAAACCTGGGATCAGATCCTGGGATATGGGGCTCTGAAAGGGCTCTTCCAAACAGCCATATAACCCAGAATATCAAGGCAGATAATCCACAATATCTGCTTTGAACTGCATTAACAGAGTCCACACTGCCATATAAGCCAGTTAAGTGTGGATTTTATACAGCTGTGTGGAAGGGGGCAAAGCAGCTTACATTTCAATACAATTTCAAATCTACAAATATGTGAAATATTACAATAGAATTAAATATAATGGCTATTCTTTAAAGCAGGCATGGGCCAGCTTGGGCCCTCCTTGTGTTTTGGACTTCAACTCCCACAATTCCTAATAGCCAGTAGTGCAGTGTTTCTCAACCTTTCTAATGCCACAATCCCTTAATACAGTTCTTCGTGTTGTGGTGACCCCCAACCATAACATTATTTTTGTGGCTTCTTTATAACTGTAATTTTTCTACTGTTATGAATCGTCATGTAAATCTCTGATATGCAGGATGTTTATCCAACCTCCTGCCATAAGGGAAAAGCACAATCAAGGCACTCCTGTCAGGTGGCCAGTCAGCCTTTGCAGGCTGAACGTCGTGTTGTTCTCGCTGCTGCTGCTTTGGCAGAGGAGGAAGGAGAGGAAGACGACAGTGGCTTCTGGGAAGTGGAGTCCCACATTCAAGGTGGGGGCTCATTACTGAGCATGACTGACAGTATCGGAAAGTGCTCCGCCTCGTTTGGCGTTCCTCCCTGGAAAAGGTTCACTGTTGGTTCGCTATTGGTTCTCCAAAGAGCCAATGCTGGCTCTCCTCAGAGCCACGAGGGAATGGAGAGGTAATGGCCCCACCCACCAGAGCAAGTGGTGATGCCCCTAAAGTTTGTTTTGTTGATTTGCTTCTTCCTCTTCTTCAAAGGCACCTCTGCCTCCTCCTCCAGCCAAAGCAATTGTGGACCTTCGGCGCGTGTCAGTAGAAATGGCTACATGTGTCACTACTGACACGCATGTCATAGGTTCGCCATCACGGGTCTAAACGCACAAATTGAAAACATGCTCAGGACTTTTGGGGGAAAGGAGAAGGATACCGTAGCACCATTGATGCACCCCTTGGATGGAGGCTGCTTGGATGGCTGTGGCTGGAGGGAGGTGGACTGGCTGGTTTATCAGCCTATAACTGCATGACTGCAAAAGTTAGTGACTTCATGAGATAAAGTTCCTGTACTTCTGTTACCAGCAGAATTGATCTCCTCTCATTGCTGTTTTTTGATAAAATAGGTTTGGGCAATAGTGCCATTATTATGACTAGTATGTACAAATAATATGTATCAGTTACTGATTCATAATTCCAGGTTACACATCCATAAGTGTGATACTGAATTCTGGTCATGAACTTATGAAATTAAGAAACCATCATGATATGAGTGAGAGAAAATGAAAGCATCACCAACCAACATTAACACACTTTTGTTATTCAGTGCAATCTGTCATCAGTAAGTATGATTTCCCTCTGCTCTTTTCTTTTTGCAAGTGAGCTTTAATAAATACTGACAAGGATTACATAGAGTTAAGTTTTCCTAGCAGCATGATTCAGTTCATACAATGAATGGATAACAACTTAATAAATATGCTGTAATTATTGCAGAACAGTCTGAATTTGAAATAGAGCCTATCTCCAGTAAAAGCACAAATTAGAACTTCTGATTTGTACTCCAGATGTCTACCTTTTCAGTGTTATTATAAATTCACCACTTATATTACTCACCCATTTCCAACAGAACAGTGTTGTATGCCATTCTACATTAGAAATATGAGACACAGCTGAATGAAAAGCCTGAAGAAGAAGAGGCTCTGACTGAGAACTTGGGGTGCTCCAAACCTAGGGACATTTCATAGAATCATAGAGTTGGAAGAAACCACAAGGGCCATCAAGTCCAATTCTCTACCATGCAGTAACACACAATCAAAGCACTCTTGGCAGATGGTCATCCAGGACCTGCCTCAAAACTTCTAGGGCAGGAGACTCCACAGTGCTCCAAGACAGCATATTCTATGACCAAACTGCTCGAACCATCAGGAAGTTCTTCCTAATGTTTAGGTGTGATCTCTTTACCTGCAAATTTAATCCATTACTTTGTGTCCTAGTTTCTTGTATAGAAAATTCAAGGAGATAGCTTTTGTGGTTTTTGTTAAAAATGTTGTTCATAAAAACTTTTAAGAATTCTTGAAAGTCAGTGGATGAATGAAATGTTGTGAAACTTGGGAGGGGGGGTGTTACAGTGGTGATTGTAGTAAATTTCATGCCAATAGATCTAACAATGAGGGAGAAAGTTTCCCCATTGGTCCATCTGAACATGAGGAAGAACTTCCTGTGAGAGCCATTAAGCAGTGGAACTCTCTGCCCCGGAGTGTGGTGGAGGCTCCTTCTTTGGAAGCTTTTAAGCAGAGGCTGGATGGCCATTTGTCAGGGGTGATTTATTTATTTATTTATTTATTTGCTATACTTGTATACCGCTGTTTCTCAGCCTAGACGGCGACTCAACGCGGTTTACAACAGAATATAACAATCGACAGTATACAATTTAAAAGCATAAAAACTTAATACACAATACATATATCAACAACAAGCCAATTCATCTCCTGACTAAAATCGTGATCCAGTTTCGTCGTCCATATTGCCAGTCCTTTAATCATTACATT